TAGTCTAAAAATCATACACATACACACGCGCGCGTGTGCGCGTACGAACATGTTTTGAAATAACGATAATTTCATCATAATTTTTTTCATAAAAAGTTATTTTTCGTTTATGTGAGTACTAACCAATAAAAACCTGTATGGCTTCGACCACAAAGAGCGTATTTTTGTAACTGCTATGCTGCTTTCATCGAATGTAATTACCAAGTATAAACATAAAGCACAATTTCATCGAATTCTGTCTTATCATGATTTTCTTCTAATTATTTTCTAAATGTTCCCTCTTTACCTTAGTTTGTGTGTATTTGAAAAAATATTTCTAACTTTTAATTAATGTGCAATATTCCTTGCGATAATTATATTAATTCTCTAAAAACCATTCTAACGTATAAACACATAATTATTAAATGAAGTACTAAAACACTTTTAATTGACTTTCGTGCACAAAATAAGTACATTAAAAAACCCTAATTTATTTATTAAGACAACGAATTACAAAGATTAGTGTGCAACGTTAACTTAAAGTACTAAGTAGAATTTAAAGAGCTTTATAACGTCTAACATTTTAACAGACGTTGCTTGACCAAGAAACGAAAAAGAAAGAAAGATCGTTCTTTAACAACCAGTCAAAATAAGAGAACACAAACAAAATCTACCATCACTAAGCAAACACGTATGGCCTTCCGTCTATAAGAAAAACCTTATTTTCTCACGCCGGTATCTCTAAAATTTTGAGAATCACAAGCTCATAATACTCTTTTCAGTCACCTTGCATATCAAGTAAAACACATGGGTAGGGTAAAAGTTACGTTTGTTTCCAACCTTAAGAAACTCAACATAAACTGTTACAGATAAATTCCACACTACCGCTGTCTTGGCGTCGTTCCTCAGTGAATTGTCTTTCCTCAGTGAATTGTCTTTCCTCTAAAAAATAAAAAAAAAAGACAACTACTACTATTACCACAACTGGTAATACTACTACTACTGCTACTGCTACTACTACTGCATCAACTGCTACCACTTCGACTACTGCTGTTACTACTACATAGTACTTGATGCTGGAGCCACCCTTAAAGATTAACTAGTTTAAGCTGTTCAGTACTTTATTTTTTACGTTTAAACAGCGATGTTTTGACTACTATGTCGTTCAACGCCTCTTAATCACAATTAAAAAAAAAATTTACTACACAATCCCACTATTTCACAACTATCATATTAACACAAGATTTTGAGACATTCCTAAAACCTCAAAGATACTTACAATATATATAACTCTTAGCACGTCACTTTATTATAACCTCATTTTCAACAGAATTTTGGGACCATCCAAAATGTTATCTTTTTTTTACGGTTTAGCGGTAAATGTTAAAATTTGAGCATAAAATGAAATTTAATGTAAGAATCGCCTGTATAATGTTAAGCCATATAGGTACATTCTCTTAACTATTTTGTATGTGTATTATAAAAATTTGAAACATCAGGCTAAACATAATAGCGGCAAAATTTATAAAACTTTGTACAATACAAATTATTAAATAAATTTATGTATGTGTTCTTGGAATACATATTTTAAATTTTGTGTAACACTTATTAAGTTAACAGTATCATGTTTTTTAATAAATATTATTTTACTAACTAATCGTTTATAATAGTTAGATTCTATCAAGTATTTTTATTGACTCGTCGTCACACTTAAATATGTAGTCACCACTTGAAATATGGTTATATAATTCTGAGAAATCTTTACATTTACGTATATTATCACAATGTTTTTTTTTTCATTTCTAGTATCCTACCTGACTGTTCCACGTAACGTTTACCACACTTGCACATTATTTTATAACTACGTTAAATTTTTTGAATTGATCTATTTGATTTTTTTATTGTTTTTAGAAATCTTTAACTTGTTTTGTAATTAAAAGATAATTTTTTAACCGTATTTTTTTGGGATGGATTTTACATCGTATTCACATTTTTTTATGTACGGTAAAATTATGAAGTCATTTTAATTTTTATATTGTTATTCAAAAGTGTTTTTGAAACAACACCCTCATTTTTATGAATATTAGGTATAATTTGTCCATATTTTCTTATAAGCTTACTGAGATAGTTATTTGCTTTTATTACATTATTTATAGTATTCAAATTTATATTATCATCAGTGCAATCTGATAACTTCCTGCTCGATCGACCAAACTATAGATTATACCAATTTTTTTGTGATATAGAGTTGTAAGAATAAAAATTGTGATAGCAATTTGAGTGCATTGGTTTTCTGTACCCTTTTTTAAGTCCTGCATGGCGAAATTTGAAAGGATATAGGTGATAGGGCTACCTATAGCACTACCTGGTATTTATTTGTAATTTTTGTTATTAACAATTTTTTTACAGCAATTTTTTAGCTGCTATGTTGTTCAGCCTTAAAATAGAGTATCTATGTATAAATCCTTGAAGACGGAAAATATTAAAGTATTGAACAACTTCAACTAGTTAATTTTTTACTTTAGTGCTCAAAAAAAGTGCTGTTTGTTGAATCATATTTAAGCCATTAGATACTGACACTAGGGTAAAAATTGTGCCGAAGCAGTACTGTAAACATGGATAGATTTTTACTTTGGTTTAACGTAGAAATGGAGTCAATTACCAAAATTTTTGAGTTGAAGTAATGTAATAAGTAAAAAATTTATTTGAAGATAAACCGGTTATTTGTTATTATAAAGAGTATTTTGGGTTAAAATATTAAAAGAAAATTAGAACAGTTTTATAATTTATTTAAAGAATTAGAGATTTCTAAGAAAAATTGTAAGTTTCTAGTGCTACAAACAGTTTGAACTTCACCTACAGTAAATACGTAATTGTTGTATGAACAATAAAAAATTTTTTCCTTAAAATAGTTATTCAAAATTTAAACAAGAGTGTTTGTATCTTTAATTACAAATAAGTTATTTTAAGACTTATTTGAAGATATAAATACACATCAACAATTTATGGGAATAATATGTTGAATTGGAAAAATAAACTACTAAATTTTTTGGATGCTGATTCTATTCATTTCATGTGTTATTACTTAGTTATTATAAGTGAGTCTTAGGCTTATAGTTTTAATCTTATTCATAAAAAAGCTCTACCAACATATAATTATTACACCCTCTAAGTAGAAAAAAAAATTTAATTTTATCAATAAGGTGTTACCTTTTTTCAATCATTAAATATACAAATAAGTATAAGTCAGTTTTATAATTTAATAAAAGAAGTTTTTGAAAATAGAACTAATATAAGTATGAATTAACAAATATTATCAACGGTACATAATAAAGTAACCGAATATAATCTTAGAAAACATTAAATTTTTTCAAACAACACAATTATTGAATTATCACAATAGCTGGTGAAGGAGGAAAAATTATTTTATTAAATAAAAATAAAAATGAGTTTTGGAAGAAGTAAGCTAAAATTCATTATTTTGTTATACGTTTGTTAAAGCATCTTCGAGCTCCGGGTTAATTTAATAAATGTTGAAAAAAAAGAGAGGAGGTAAAGGTTAAGCGTGCGCTTGACACGGTGGAAAGATTAAAATGATTGGTTTGAGTGTGTGTGTTTAGCGATCAGTGAGAAGGTATCAAATGAGGCTGTTATTTATTTTTGATACAGGGTAGAGAAGAGTAGCTGTTCTTCTACGTACGGTCACAGAAAAATCGGTTAAGTAGTTTTCGCGATTAGCGATTACAACATTTTTTTGAGTTTGCTTTATATGTTGATGAGATGAGATAATATTCATAGCTGTTTCAGAAATCTTTCTTGGATCAACCTTGCAAAGAGTTTGTGTAACAAGAATTTTTATTTATTAATAATTTCAGTAACTTTATGTCTACCTCCATTATAACGTTGAATACAGTTAAAAATAATTAAAATGTAAGCTCAATAAATCAAATAATTAAGTTAGGAGTTTTTACTTTATTGTAAAATTGAATATTACATATGAGATGGCACTTAAGATAGTTATTGTAAAGAATGTTTTAAATCTTGCTTGCGACCACTCATGCATTGAAGGAGAGCTTAAAGCAACGAACATCGAATGTATAGAATTTTTTCTTACTATATTCTAACCAACTTAAATATTAATACAACTTTTAATTCAACCAAAAGAAAGCAAAATTAGTTTTCTTGAAGAAGAAGGACATAAGTGGCGTATGATGCACTTAAACTAGAAAAATAGAGATTGTCTGTACATTTTTTAATAAACAGATAATTCGAAGATTTTTTACTTCCAAGCTCTGACACATTAATAACTTAACCTACCATAAACACGAAACATTTATTGTATTGATGTATGGCTAGTATATAATGACAAAAGTTATATAAAAATAGTCATAAAAATAGATAGCCTTAGTAAATTAGTTTAAGTACAACCAATTTTCAGCTCGTTTGTATTGAAAATTTAATACATTAAACTAATAAGCTTAAAATAAAATATCAACTTATAGAAGAGGCAATCATAGTGACAGATCACTAAAACAAAATTTTTAAATTATCATATTTTAATGTGAGTAAGAGAATGTCTCTATTTATATTGCAGTTAGCCTATAATTCTTTTACTGTTGGCTCATAAATTTTAGGGATTTATCGCTAAAATAGAAAGTCATTTTTTTTAGTAGACACTAATTGGAAAACTTAAAATAATTAAGAGTGTCAACGGCAACCTTAAGCTAAAAAATCTAACAAAGTTGAAAAAAAAATTTTTTTTTGGAATTACAGATTGATCAAACTATTTTGCTGCATAGAGTAGATATGGACTGAGCACGAAGAATCCAAAATATTTTTTGTATTAATGAAGTTTTGCTTTTATTATATAATTGTAATATTGGTAAAGAATCAGTAACGCAGTAATTAATTCCATTTGTACAGCTCAATAGATTATTTTTGAAAAAATATGATTCATTGTGTTGAATAATTAGTTAAGCATTAGTCAGTATTCGGTAGAATAAGTATATTTTAAATCTTACCAAGCCTTTTGTATAGTATGTTTCTAGTTCTTCAAATAAATCTGTAAAAACATTTGCGTTCTGTTCGTATAAAATACCATATGTCTTCTTAAACATCTCGTGGAAACTTCTTTTGCTTGTTTTCAGTAAGTTGTTGAAAAAATCTTAAACAAAAATTTCTTTGTAAACCATATATAAATAATTTTTTTTTTCTTACATTTAAGGGTATTATTATCATTATTCGTTTTGATGAGATGAGATAATATTCATAGCTGTTTCAGAAATCTTTCTTGGATCAACCTTGCAAAGAGTTTGTGTAACAAGAATTTTTATTTATTAATATACAATATATTTATTATATAGTTATTATTAAACTTCAAGAATAGACCAACTTTTTTAGAACGTTGATCTTGAGATTTACAACTACTTATAGCAAAAACTACAGCAAAGAAAATTTAGTTCTATATAAAATTAACGGCGTTCGAGAAGCATGACAAGTATTCACTGTTATTCATGAAATGAAAGCATTTTTTAAATTTTTTCTCCAATTATTTTTTGACCTTCTGTATGATACGTATATGATTTAATTATTTGCAACCGTCTAAGACACATATATATGTTTCTTGGTAACATTACTATACATACCATTTTTATACTTAGTTCAGAAGGTAGTAAGCCTTCACAGATATTACTCAACGTTTTTAGAGAAAAACTTACATAAATATTATCATTTGGTTTATCAACATCCTGATAAGTTGCTTGATCTATGCTATGATAAAATTAGTTATTAGGTAATAAATTTAGGTAATATAGTAATTCGAATGTTTTTAAATTACTTTTAGCGATGAAGTAATAAAATAATGTTTCCTATAAATAAGTTTCATCACAACCTTCATGACCATCTATGAAATAAGTTCTATTACCTTTTCTGCAATTAGTATCATAATAATTTTTTAATCATAAATTAAATCAACATATAGGTTATTTAACTTTGTTTTTAGAGATAATACTTCATTAGTGTTATTTACTTTATGTTTATTTTTATGTAAAATGGGTACATAAAAAGAGTAACATGATTAATTTTTTGATTCTCCAATTTGGTTGATACGTTTAGTATCAAAATTATCATCATAAGTATAAAAATGTTCTGTAAAATACTTAAGATTTATTTTAAGTTTGTCTCTTGGATGTCTTCTGAAATTCGAAACTAAGCGAAAAATAGTTTTTAGTGATAAGGATGTATGACAGTAATTGCTTTCTGAAAAATATCATCAATTTAACACTCGTAACTAAGCCTATCGCAATTGCAGTTTTCTTAAAATGTTTCACATTTAATCTATTAAAAGACTTAATTTCTTTAAACGATGTTGCACCGCATCATTTATGTAATATATGTTTAAAAAAGAAATGCACATGATCTTTTAAGATACTATAATAATTCTACGAATTGCAATATTTTTTGCATACATTATATCTTCTTATGTACTTATTGTTAGTTGTATAATTCAAGTTATTTATTTTATTTATAAAATTATTTCTTATGTTACTCTTGGATACCTTCTGAAGTTATAAAACCTACCTTTTACCTCGAGGCCTACAAATATATGAAGGATAAAAATTTACTGGCAGGGAGCTTACACGCAGAGCGCGCATGGGAGACAAAGTCCTGCTAGTACATTTCTCCCTATGTCCTATGTTATATAATTGTATAGACAACAGTGAGTCTTAGCTCCCCACACTCTACCCCACTACCCTTGACTTTCCCATAGAATCCCTTCTATTTACATAAGCTCAATGAACGGAAACAGTCAAGCTCTTAAAACAAAAAATTAAATGCATACACGTTTCTCTATAATTTACAGTGAACAAGGGGATCATTTCAAGCATAATTTTTTTTTTATTGAATGAATAACATTTTTTTTAGTACTTTAATAAGTAAATTATAGTTCTAGCTTAATTTTAAGATTGTAGCTGAGATTTTTACGAGTAATACAGAAAATTACTTAACATTTGATTACTTTGTTATTCAAAACTACGAATCCTTATTTGTCAAACGTGATTCATTTTGACACCAGCTCTATTACAACATTTGTGTGTTGAATCAACTAGAAGATTAAGTGTTGTAGAATAAAAAAAATTCTAATATTTTTATAATGAAGAAATAATTACTCTCTTGGTGATGCTATCAAAATCGTTTATTGCTGTAAACAACGTTTCGGCCCGTACAGTAAACCACGTTACAAGGCCCTCATCAGGTACAACTTCATAGCCACAACAATAGCGTAAATACGTATTTTTCGATCTACCATCAATCGTGATACCTATAGTCGCTATTTCTTATATATTCTATAGTCATTATTTCTTCATAATAATTATCTGCTATCACGAGAGCCACTGACAAACTAATATTTTTATTGTAAAAAAAGTTAACAAATACCCAACTGTATAGGTATATCTACAATCCACAAAAAATATACAGTCCAATTCAGTTTTTTAAAACAGTAATATATTTATTTTAGCATATTGTTTATTAAAAAAGCATAGTCAGTAACCTTATAGAATTTTGTACAAAATCTATTCCTTTTATAATGTTAATTTTGGTTTGTGACTTATAAAAATGCATATTAGTTAAAAATTACGGAAAATATAATGCAATAAACATTATTAATACGATGAATGTTCAAGAATGGTTAAAAAGAAGCAAAAAAAATGTTTGTATTAAGGGATACATTATTTGTCAATTTTTATTTATGAGTAAAACACATTTAATCGGCATCTTGTATTCCTTAAAAATAATAAAAACTGAATTTACAAATGTAGAAAATCTTTTTAAAAAGAAGTTAAAAATCGTTATCATCATTATCACAGTTATCATCATCATGATTATTATCAAAACGATTATTAAAAGTATCATAATTGTCATCGCCTCTCCCACTGATTGTTTCACAAAGGTAAAATCTAATAGCAGTATCAATTGGTAACAATTTACAAGAAAGTTATTCAACGTCTCTTTAAATTGTGAACCAGGAAATAAGATAAGATATTTATTGATAATTTGCCTGTTTCTCTAAAATCTATGTTTGAAGTTGTTCGTGTATGATTGTGCACCTTAAAATCCATATTATTCAAGAAAAGTAAATGCTTTTATGTATTTATGCTACTACAATTCAAAAAAACAAATACTATATAAAACACATCATAAAAATTTGAAATCAGATACTATGCATGAATGTTCGTATTGTTCATGAGTTGATTCAAGAAAAAATTAATAATAATTATTGTCATAAAAGTGAAATAATGTTTTTATTTTTAGGTCAATACGATAAACGCATTAAGTAGCTGCTACTCGATGATGGAAACTCTTAACAGTTAATTCATATTCATAATAATTTGTGTGGTTTTCTAATACTTTTTGCAAACGTATCACAAAAAAAACTAAGTAATTTATAATATAAAATAACATTTTGGTAATTTCGTTAGATAAGTTCCATCGTCTTTGGGGATTTTTTACGACCCGAGGGAGCTGCTAAGCAGAGTCCGAGGGACGTAACATAGCCATGAAGCAATGGCGCTCAAGTCGTGAATCCTACTTTTCCTACCAAGGGTATATCAATCAGCCCTTTCAAAAACACGTGAGATAGAAAATGTCACATTAATTCTTCTACTACAGAGTTTTAATGTGAGATATTTCTGTTACATTTATAGTGATTTTAAAACCATTTAAAAAATTTCAAGATTTAACAAAGCGTAGAATAAAAATCACGTTAAAATTTTTACAAAATTTAAAAAATTGAAACAAAAATCACATAGCAAACAAGTGGCTAAATTAATGCAAAACTTTAGATCTAGCATACAACAGATGACTAATCCATGGTTTGTCAGAGCAGAAAATACAATTTGAACTGCAAGATTCTAGTAAGAGATCACATTTCTTCAACAAACGTTAAATAATAAAATAATAAATTATATCACAAATTATTTTTTCCAACATTTCAAAACCCTTCTAGTTGTATCTTGTGTTAGAATAACACTGAATACATCAATGACAATCGCAAATAAGTCTATTTTAATAAGATTTACAAGGTTTATACTAAAATTTTGGTTAACAAATGGCATGTCAAAAATGTATATGTTATAGAACGGTTTTTGGATATTTCAAAATGATTTCTTTGTTCAAATAGTAGTAATGACAATATTAAAAAAAATCATTGATACAAAAAATTGTATTTTAATAAGATCTACAACAGAAAGCGGCGTTGGCCCAGTGGTAAGCGTCCTTGTTACTGATACAACGCTGTTCTAGTGGTGGTGGATTCGATTCCCTGTATGCAGTTTTGTTAAAACTATATTTATCGGCAAAAAGTTCCCATGTAACCACGGCTGTTGCGAGGTGGATTTTTCTGTGCAATTTTCCTTTAGAGTAATTCCAGGATTTTTTCCTTGCCCCATAGGTTTTTGGGCCTAGCTGAATCCGAATTAGTGTTAGGGCTATAGGTGAGGGTTAGCGGATCCAATGCGCCACGCAGGGATCGCCGGCCTCACCGGCAAGGAGTGGACGTCCTGAAATATGGAATCTTTTCTGGGAAAAGAGTATACAGTGCCAAGTGGATCTGATGCATTACTTGTTCAGAGAGTGTCAGCTTAACTGGCAAGGTATTTCACTGGAGATACTCACACCATGCCCGTGGATTAGGTATAACATCCGTAAAAGGATTGGAAATGGGTGCGGCAATACACCCCCACACATAGGTATGACTAGGCCGACCAGGCCAGTAGGCTGTCGCAGTAACACGGTAAAAAAAAAAAATATTTATAATATTAAAGCTTAGAGCCAAAAATACTTGTTTTTAAATCTTAAAGTGTTATAGTAATGATGCTGTCGTAATTTTAAAAAAAATTTTTTTTTTTTTATATAAAAACTGACTAAATGCAATACATCAGCTTTGATCGTGAACTTGAAGTTTCTTTCAAAATTTCAGGCCATTTAGAAAATAAATACTTGAGTTAGTCGAAAACTTTGATGACGTACATTCATACTGAAAAATTTATTTTCTCCGAAAAAAGATTAAAAAGCAGATAAAAATGAACTAATGGCAGCTAAATCCAGCGCAGTAAGAACCAAAATCTTAAAAGACTGAGCATTTTGACATTTGTGATTATAAAA